TTGTTAGCTGCCATGTGGGTGCTGGGATTCGAACCTGGGTCTTCTGCAAGAACAACCAGGGTTCTTAACCGCTGAGCCATCTCTCCAGTCCCTAAGTGAATTATTTTTAAGGGCAGAAGAACATGTCGACAATGCATATAACATGCAATTATTCATATGAGATTTTTAGCAATCAAGGTCAGTTCTCTATTGAGACTGTATCACCTAGTTGTGAAAAGGAAATTTAACAGAAAGATCTTTAGCAAACATGTATATCCATTGTTTTACATATAGTCTAGCCTTAATAAAAACCTTAAGTTTAGGGAGCTAGAGAGATGACTCCTGTGGGGTGATGGGACTGCAGACATGCATCGTCATGCTCAGTTTAACTCTGTGCTGTGGAGTGAACCCAGGGCCTCCTGCAGGTCCAGAAAGCACTCTGCCAACTGAACTCCATCCACAGCCCCAATTTTTTATTTTAAAATATTGATGATGGGGCTGGAGAGATGGCTCAGCAGTTCAGAACACTTGCTGCTCTGGCAGAAGACCTGGGTTCAAATCCAGCACCCACATGGCAGCTAACAACTGTAACTCCAGCTCCAGGAGATCCACTAGCCTCTTCTGTCCTCTGTGAACATTGCACAACCAGGTGCACTTACCTACATGCAGGCAATACACGCATACACATAAAATAAAAATAAATAAAATATAAAAGAATATCGACAATACAGGGCTGTAAGAAGGCTCAGTGGTTAAGAGCACCGACTACTCTTACAGAGGACCTGGGTTTAGGTCCCAGCACCCATATAGCAGTTAATAGCCCACAGTAATTCGAGTTCCAGGGAATCCTTGCCCTCTTCTGGCCTCTGTGGGCATTGCACACACCTGGTGCACTTACATGTAGGCAAAACACTCATACACATATTAGATATGCCATACTTTATTGAGACATTCTTTTTATGAGAACACTTGAAATAGCAACAGGACTGTGGTAAGTGGCCTTTTAAGTACTTACAAGTCCTCAAGTCTCCATGAAGAAGACCAGAGCCTCAACAGGGGTCAACAGTGCTCTGGTGGGTTCTTCCTGGAGAGTTTTTCCCACCCTCCCCTAGGGCCTCCTTTGGTTGCTAGACCTACCCAAGGAAAAATTACAGTAATGTGTAGGTGCTAGTTGGCCTTCTTTTCTTTCTTTTTGGTCTTTTTTGAGACAGGGTCTCCCTGTACCTCAGCTGGTCTGGAGCTCAGCATAGAGACCAGGCTGGCCTTGACTTCACAGAGATCCACCTGCTGGCCTGGAACCCACTATGTAGTGGACCTTGAACTCCTGATCATCCTGTCTTCACCTCCCAAGTGCAGGGCTTACAGGCCTGTTCCATCATGTATGAAATGCTCAGTTTTAAATTCAGTGTTTTAAGATGCAAGTCACAACTGTGGATCAGGGGAAGGGATACAGGGCCTTGCAGAGATGTATGAATTCTGTGTTGCTTTTGCACAGGTGAGAAGAGCTGATGTTTCTGAGTGATGTTAATGAGGAGCAGAGACATGTACAGCAGGATCTCTGCTCCCATGCTCCCTCCACAGTACCCTTCCAGGAGAATGGACCAGCAGTCCTGACTGGCCACAGCAGAACTGCACTTTCCTCTTACCTGGGCCTGAATGCTGTCCTCTGGCAGGCTCCTTAGCTTAATATTTTTATGGTTTGTTCTGTTGGTTTTAAATTTTATTAATTTTTAATTTATGTATATGGGAGTTTTGCCTGCCCCAACATTTACTCTTTTAAAAAGTATTTATTGGGGCTAGAGAGATGGCTCAGTGGTTAAGAGCACTGGCTGCTCTTGCAGAGGACGCTGGTCCTATTCTCAGCATCCACATGACGGCTAACAACTGTCCCTAATTACAGTTCCAGGGCATCCGATGCCTTCTTCTGTTCTCCGCAAGGACTACACGACGTGGGTGCACTTACACACATGCAGGCGATATACTCAGACACATAAAACAATAAAAAATGAAAACATTTAAAACAGGGATTAAATTCACGTTGCTGGGCATGGTTGTGCATGCTGTAATTCCAGCATTTGGAAATCAACAAGGGAATCAGGAGCTGGAAGTCATCCCCTCTCTGGGCTATATGACATCTAGTCTCAAAACAAAAGCAAAACTCATTCCTTTTTGCACTGCCCATCCTTGATTTAAACACTGGTGTAGTGTGGCTCCCTGGTAGAATGCTATGTAGCTGCTGGGTTTGCGTGGCCCTGGGTTTGGTCCCCAGCACTAAGTGGAAGGCTAAGGTAGTGCCTCCTGAGCCTCTGGTGTGTAGTGTTGGTTTGTGAAGATGTCTTGTGGCTGTACTGTTACCATAAACAGGCAGCCCTGACAGTTGGTTTCCCTGGATCTCTACCTCTTGTGTAAAACATGACACAGCATTGGGTGAGGTACTTTACATTGTTTTGTTTTTCCCTTCTTGGCCTTTTATAGGATAAAAATGGTAAAAGCTCTAAAGCTATAGCTGTGACCCAGGTAGGCGCCCAAAGGCCTTCTTTACTTATCTACAGATTTTATGTTGGTGATTAGAATGCCAGAGGTGGTGGTGGACACCTATAGTCCTAGCACTCCCAAGTGGAGGGAGGGGAATTACGAAGAGTTTGAGCTAGCCTGGACTACAGGAGACCCTGTCTCAAAAGTAAAATAATATTGGTGATTGGGAGGACACAGAGATAGAGCCAGAGCAAAGTCTCAGTTCTGCCACACGTAAGGCGAACTGGAAATTAACAATTTATCAGCAAGATAAAATGTATCCACGCCATGTATGATATAGTCATGTGTCATACATAGTGGTGTTTTGGTCAGCGCACTGACTACAGAGGTCCCATGGGTTTATACCAGCTGATAGAATTCCTACAGCCTGGAGAAGCTGACGAAGCAAGAGAAGAGGAGTACAGAAGGAAAGGCCCGGGACGGACGTTCCCACTGAGGAGCCAGAGGGGCTTTCAGAGACCCCAGCAAGCACCCGAAACAGAGAAAACGGGCTGGAGAGACGGCCCAGCAGTTAAGAACACTGACTGTTCTTGCAGAAGACCCAGGTTCGAATCCCAGCACCCACATGGTAGCTAACAACTGTCCGTAACTCCAGTCCCAGGGGATCCGACAGCCTCTTCTGCCCTCCTGGGCATTGCACGACACGGGTGCACTTACCTACATGCAGGCAATACATGCATACAAATAAATTAAAAATAATAAATAAGAAAGGTTTTTTTGGCCTTTTTTGAGACCTGTAGCCCCAGCTGGACTGGAACTCGCTATGTAGACTTGAACTCACAGAGATCTGCCTGTCTCTGCCTTCCGAGTGCTGGGACTAAAGGCGTGCACCACCAAGCCCAGCTAAAAATAATAAAATATTTTTAAGAGAGAGAGAAAACATGGAGCCAGGCGTGGTGGCACATGCCTTAAGTTCCAGCACTCGGGAGGCAGAGGCAGGCAGATTTCTGTGAGTTCAAGGCTAGCCTGGTCTACATAGCAAGTTCCAGGACACCTGGGGTTAGAGGGAGACCCTGTCTCAAAAAGACCAAATAAGAAAGAGAGAGAGAGAAAAAACATGGGCGGGGGGCATGTGGCTTAGTTGGCAGAGCGCTGGCCTGACAGGCATGAAGGCCTGGGTTTAATCCCCAGAAATGCATAAGCTGGGCCACTGGACATAGTGGCCACACTGTAGTCCCATCACTCAGAAGGTAGAGGTAGGAAGAATATTTTCAAATTTATTTCATGTGTATGAGTCTTTTGCCTGCATATATGTAAGTGCACCCTGTATGTAAGTGCATGCCTGTGGTGCCCTTGAACACTAGAAAAGGGCATTGGATCTCCTGGAACTGGAGTTCAGCATGGGTGCCAGCTGCTACATGGGTGCTAGGAACTGAACTCGGGTCCTCTGGGGGAGCAGGCAGTGCCCTTAACCACTGAGCCACCTCTTCAGCCTTCTGGTCCATATTTTTATCTTTCACGTAATGCTTTTTCATTGTGCTTTATGAACAGGGTAGGATTTTATGGCAGACATTAACTGCTAAACTCTGTGGTTCAACTGTATTTTTGTTAAAACAGATTTCTGATGAAAGCTTGCTAGTTCTAGTAATTCATTAAATGATGAAACTTTATCAAGAATTGTTCATTAATGCATGTAAAAAAAATGATCTGCTTGTATAAACACTGGGGAACACCCAAATTCAGCCTTTCTGTGGGTCATGAAAGCTGAGGCCCATGAGGGTTGGCTCATGGAAAAGGTCCATGGAGAGCCAGGGCTGGTGATGCAGGCCCGTGATCCCTGCACTGGGGAGGCTGAGGCGGGAGGACCATTGATTTCAAGGTCAGCCTGGGCTGCACGGTAAGACCCTCTCTCAAAACAAATACTTAGGAGCCAGTCCAAGAGTCCAGGTGTGCAGATAGCCGACAGGCTCATGGGGGGCTGCAAGGTGAGGGGTAGCAAAATACTGCTGGTTTTCCCCAACATTTTTTTTCTCAAACACAATCCCCACAAGGGGTAATTTCTACCAGAAGTTGGCAACGTCACTGGGTTTATGAATCAGCTTTTTAAAGGCAGATTCAGTTGCCTCAAATGACTTTAATTTTTTTATTTTTATGAATGTTTTGCCTGCATGTATACAAGTGCACACATGTTGTCTAATATCCATGGAGGCCAGAAGAGGACATCAGATTCCCTGGAACTGGAGTTGTTACTGGGTGCTGGGAATCACACCCGGGTCTTCTGCAAGAGCGGTCAGTGCTCTTAGCCGCTAAACCATCTCTCCAGCCCTTCAAATGACGTTTTTTAAAGACAAGACCTGTCTTGTGGACATGAACATCACATAGGTATCCAACTGCGTATCTAGCTTGCCCTTGAACTCTAAATCCTCTGGTCTCAGCTACCGTGCCATTTCCACTTAAAGACTGTTCTTGCGGTGCTGTTTGCATTTGGACTTTTCTAATACTCTGGATTAATGTTCGAAATTCTGTTTTGTTTGTTTGACGTTGAGGTGACTGTTGTCTCCGCCGCCCCTAAGAAAATAATCTGTGAGATGAAGGTGGAGGAACAGCACACCAACAAAATGGGCACTCTGCATGGCGGCCTGACAGCCACCCTGGTCGACTGCATATCAACCATGGCTCTGCTATGCACAGAAGGAGCGCTGCCTGGAGTCAGTGTGGACATGAACATCACGTAGGTAACCAGACAGCACCCCAAATGACTGAAAATTGGTAACTCATTTCAAACAACCAAGGCTACAAGTTTATATTAATAAAGCAAGAGATTGGATTAGTGCTTACCCTTAAGTGCAGCTGTGGATTTGCCTGGACGCATTCCATGGTATGAAAACCTAGATCTGGCCCTGGTGGCGCATGCCTGTAATCCCTAGGGAGGCTGAGGTAGGCGGGGTCAGCAAGTTCGAGGCCAGCAGGGCTAGGTAGTAAATTTCAGGCCAGCCAGAATACATAACAAAACACTGTCTTAAAACTATAAAATTTGAGCCAGGTGTGGTGGTATATGCCTTTAATCCCAGGACTCAGGAGGCAGAGGCAGGTGGATCTCTGTGAGTTCAAGGCCAGCTTGCACTATATGAGTTCCAAGCTGGTTGGGACTACAGGAGGCAGAGGCAGGCAGATCTCTATGAGATGGAAGCTAGCCTGGTCTACATAGCGAGTTCCAGGCTAAGTAGGGTGACAGGGAGACCTTGTCTAAAAAACATCAACAAAACACTAAAAATCACCTAGAACTGAATCAGTTTCTAAGTACAGTCACCTATCAGTATCTGTGGATGGATTCCAGGATCCCTCTTAGGTAACAAGATCAGAATATTCCCTGGTGTATGTATGTATGTGTGTGTGTTTTTAATTTTTTCTATTTTTATTTTATGTGTATGCATGGATTGCCTACATGTAGGTACGTGCACCTGTGTCATGCAATGCCCAAGGAGGTAAGAAGAGGCTGTCGGATCCCCTGGGACTGGAGTTACAGTTGTTAGCTACCATGTGGGTACTGGGCTTCGAACCGGGTCTTCTGCAAGAACAACCAGTGTTTTTAACT